TGGTGCCGGTGGAGGTGGTGGCGGTGCTGGGGAGGGGGTGGTGGAGGTGGTGCCGGTGGAGGTGGGGCAGTGCTGGGAAGGTGGAGGCGGTGCTGGTGGAGATAGAGGCGGTGCTGGGGAGGTAGAGGCGGTGCTGGTGGAGGTAGAGAGGCAGTGCTGGGGGAGGTGGAGGCGGTGCTGGTGGAGGTGAGCAGTGCTGGGGAGGTGGAGGCAGTGCCGGTGGAGGTGGTGGCGGTACTGGTGCTAGGAACAAGTTAGGGTAGAACTTGAGAATATAAAAAAAAGAGTATTGTTATTATTGTTCTTTTATTGTAGTAGACGTAGTTATGGTGATGATAATAGCAGCGTTGGTGTGGGCAGTGGTCGAGGCCGCGGTAATGGATCACCAACAGCGGTAAGAGAAACAGAAGAAAAAGAACATGTATTAGTTTGTGTTCCAGTCAGGGTGAGTGGGTGGAGCCGGTAGTGGTGTGGAATGATAAATAATGATGATGATGGTGGTAGTAGTGGTAAGTGGTATTATGGGTAGACGTCTAGTGAGTAAAGTACAGTGATGGTGGTGATAGTAGCGTATAGGTGAGGATGATGATCGTTGTAGTTGTGGTAAGTGGAAGATGGAAGTAGGGTTGGTGGTTATGAAGGTTAGATGAACACGATAGTAGTCAATAAATGCTTCGGAGGCAGAGACTGAGTTGGTAGTGGTAGTGATGAAGATTATTGAGTCTGTGGGTATTTTCTGACGGTAGCGGTATAGAAGTGGGTGTGACGATGGTAATAACGGTAATGCTAATGGACTGACAACCAAAGCTGACAAGCCTATTTCTGACGCCTTGTTTTGGGTATACTGCTGCACTACCTTGCCCTCACTGAGTCCCTCTCCTAAAACATCGGTATGCAGCGACACCTGAATTCATGTTGTGTATACGGTAGATAAAACAGCGTCAAAACTCCTATATCATACCTGGCCGGGTTTTCTTATCCTCCTCAGTTACGGGTTCCGAATTATCGAATGAACCTTTGAAAATCGAGAGCCAGTGTGTGGTTGGTCGTGCACACAGCCCGGGGTCCAGAGCCACCACTACCACCACCACCCGCCGCCTCAATGGCTGTCCACACACCAGCCATCACATGGAGCTAAATTTCCGACGACATCCTTCCTTCAACATTTCTCCGCCGACTTCACATCCTCTTGCGTCACTCTGTCGGGTCCCGGGTCACGACCACAAACACCTCCAACTGCTTGATAATTTTTATAAAGTCTAATACTTATATATAATAATAATCTCTACACATTTACGAAAATAAAAGTTTCACTAAATAACCTTGTAGTTTTACGTATTTAAGCTTAATATTTAACCCAAGAACACAAAACATATTTTTTTTCAGAATATTACCACAGCCAATATAAAGTATGTGACGTTGACGAGAAAGTCGGCATCCCCGTCTACACCAATCAGAGAATAGAGTTTTTAACTTACATTTTTCTACGTTGTTTATGTTAATCCGATGACCAGAAACTTAAAAAAAAAAATAGGTATTTAAGAGGAAAACAAATATACTATAAATAATAATCATAAGAAATGACTCAGCACTGATTTCAAAAGTTTGTCTAAAAAAACAATAAAATATAAGTGGACGTCACTAATTACACATTAAAGTAGTTTTTAAAGGGATACTTTCATTACCAGTCATAATGTTAATCATAATTCTGGGATCAACCCCACCTCTTATTTCCCTCATTATTAATCTACTATACCCTAGGACACATCCCTTGCCCTTAAAGACTTGTTTCTTCCTATAAAGCATTACGTGCCCATCAACCACACCTCGTCCTCCTGATAACCGCCCCAGGTTATGTTATGTTATATTTTGTGTCATGAAATCTGGAGATGTGACTGGTGGTAATTTATACCTGTGTTACACCTACTCCATGCTAAGTAATAACAAGACCAACATTTATTCATTATATTAACAAGAGTGACCAAGATCTGTGCATCAGCTGCTTCACTGTGGGATGGTCTGCGTGGAGTGTACAATAGTACCCTCAGTGAATCAGTCAGTCAAGGATTAGTAGTCATGGAGCTTGACTCAGAAAAAAACAAAATTAGGATGAATTTTTCAGCCGTAGCCATGTGTTCTAAAACAAGCTGTACGTGACAGAGAAAATATAAGAGAGTGGAAGTGAAGAGAGTGTGACGGAGACATAGTGGAGGGTGCGTGACTCCCGGAGAGTGTCTGGTGGCGGCTATCAGGGAGCAAGATGTATGGGTGATGTTATCTCGCTACATTTGTATGTCCACGCCACGCTAACCCCAGCTGCTATGTGTCCACCCTTGGTGACAATACAACGATAAGGAACTTTGGCGGTAAGGTTCACTTGCAAGAGCATCTCTAAAACAAAACCAGTTGTGTTGGAATATATGACGACTATTATTCTCAGTCCTACCTAAAGCGAGAGGAACTGAGCAGTCTATACACAAAGGAGCAATTCTCGTGATGTCTACAGTAATGATAGAGCACGTAGTCAATTTCTACAGCGAACAATTATGGTGTGCGAGGCGACGGCCAGACATCCATCAACACTGACCTAAGTGTATGATGCTTAAGCCATAATGACCAACTGCTGTCCCTCGCTATCTCCACACGCCTCACTGTTAGACTTAATATGGTAAATTAATCAAACATGACAGTCAACATTTAAGGAATACACGACCATATCACTCACCAACTGTATGAGAGATTAGCCAGACGGTCACCAGAACCTAACGTCACCCTCAACTCTATAAACCATACTGCATCACCATAAGAAGGCATAATGACCTTCTTGCATGAGGTCACCAGGTTATGAGGAGGCATTGTCGAGACTTTGTCCACCAACTATTAGTTCCTACGACATTCGTCACCCAGTGTTTATACGACAAAACAATTCAGGACGTCAACAAGATGAAAAGACATTTTGTTCTTTTAAGTTAAATTACATGAGAAGTGTTGTTGAGATATCGTCTGAAAGAAAGACCCATTAAATGTACGGATCAATAGTTCCCAAAGTCGATGCCTCATCATCTTAACAAGGCAACCAAACCTCAACATCCAAACACACTTATTCATAAACATAGTTACAAAACATTCCATACACATTAAACAAATAAATAAAAATGTAAATTAATATTGTATTATCTAAACAAAACGTCAAAACACTGTATAATAACTAGCACAGACAAGGCAATTTTTTCACCACCTTAACACAAAGTACCAAACTTATAAAACAAGTGAAATGCATTAATACATCAGTTCCTTGTCGTGTGTCTCTCTCTTAATAATGAAAACAATCACCGCCTTTGTTATTGTTTCTCCCAACACTGTGTATCAGCCGACTACTATGTAAATTTCATTATACTTTGTTATTGTAAATCACTTGCCCTCAACACCTAAGACAAGGTATGTATGAGCACGTCACTGGTTCATTGTTTTGTCCTTTGTTTTACATTATATATCGCTATATATACTGTATATATAATTCTAACTACCGTACTGCCATATTGGTAATCAGTGTACGTGCAATTATCTCTCTAATTACTTTGAGACGATATATCTAGTGGTAGACTAAATATGAAAGGTTCCTGGATTTGGATTTAAAGAATTTGAGAAATGTAAAAGATATGTGATCTCTCACTGTTAATGAAGTCATCAAGATATAGACGCTGTGAAAATCGTTTAAAGGTCAACTTTAAAGTTGACTTGTCAAAAATAGAGGGCACTGCGGGCCCCTGTGTTGAGGTGTTAAGCTTGACTTCTAACCCATATAAAAAGTGAGTGGAGATCTGAAAATAATAATAATAATGAAGGGTCTTGGACTCTTGGTGTACTGGGCCAAGGCACAACCAAAGGAATCAAAATGATCCGACTATAAAAGACGTGATGGTACTAGATAGCATATAGATGTAACGAAGAAACAGCATACGGAGACGAGTACACGAGTCAACATTACCATCACAGAGGGACAATCAAGGGATATGGGAGTGACTATAGTGATAATTAGGGTCGAGATTCTCAGAGATTCATATAGTAATTTTCCCCCAGCTATAGTTCTCGCATACAAACAGAGGCGTTAAAGCACAGCCGATCATATCCCTGGGTGACTACCAAAGACACTATCACTAGCACCCATTTGTACCTCGCGTTCACACACCAATGTCAAATGTCTGAACACGAGTACAACGCTTCCAGTTTGTGATTGTGTGGATATGACAACCAGTGTTTTTACATACCCACGGTTTATCTACAAGGTGTAATAACTGAGTATGAGTGAAGCTGGAGTGAATGGACTATCATCAACACGGGTTATCAAAGCGAGATCAATAAAACTCAGTGTAAATTAAAAGCAAAAAGAAATACAAGAGGGAACACACTATCAACACGTACAGGGCATCGAGGCTCATGACAAGGCGGACAAACAGACCAGACTTCGACAACGCCTTGGGGAGAAGCAATGGGGGTCTTCAAGATGGGATAATTATTTCAAACTAGGATAATTACACCAGACTAGAATAATTACTTCAGACTAGGATAAATACTTCAGACTAGGATAATTATTTCAAACTAGGATAATTACACCAGACTAGAATAATTACTTCAGACTAGGATAAATACTTCAGACTAGGATAATTATTTCAAACTAGGATAATTACACCAGACTAGAATAATTACTTCAGACTAGGATAAATACTTCAGACTAGGATAATTATTTCAAACTAGGATAATTACACCAGACTAGAATAATTACTTCAGACTAGGATAAATACTTCAGACTAGGATAATTATTTCAAACTAGGATAATTACACCAGACTAGAATAATTACTTCAGACTAGGATAATTACTTCAGACTAGGATAATTATTTCAGACTAGGATAATTAGTTCAGGTTCCTCGTACACACATATCCATACAGTAAACACAAGTCAAAGTACAGGTAAATCATACGACCCTCTTGCTGACCTTACCTTCTCCAAACTGCTTAGTCCTCTACGCTATAGGACAGCGCCCGCATACCTGCAAAGACAAAAAAATACATTATCAACAGTTATTCAGGTGAGGAGTATAGTGAATGATGAAAGTGAAGGAAGAAGATGACGGGGAAAGGGGGGGGGGAGGTCATAAGTCTGAAATGTGAAGGGGTGGCAGGGAGATTAAACGAGAAGGGGCAAAGGGAGGGAGACAGTTTGTAAAGGGAGGAGATTCCCTTTACATGTGCAGGTCGGTGTAACTATTGATATCTTGTAATCTACCTCCAGCGTGCGTAACATGGTGGAAAAACTGAGAATATTTCAGCAAGTGAGGCACTACATAATAAATGTATACACAGAACATATCGCTTAAGAGCAAATACTTTTGTTCGATACAAATGCCGAAGAATTCTGTTTGATGAATCACCGCTGTCTAGTTTAAATACACACACTAACTCTACTGAAATACATAAGTTCTTTTTTTTTTCACTTCCCGTGTGCGCTAAGGTCAACATGGTCTTTTTTAATGATATACTTCCTTCACTCTGCAAGACAAATCAATTTCCGCTTTAATATATCATACTAAAGTGTGTTTGCCCACGACCAGAAAATCTTATTTGTGCTTAAAATGATAACTATCTGTTGCACTCTTGGTATACGAGACACATTTTGTTTATCTAAATGGATTACCTTGAAGAGCGTCCTTCGTGTGGTCTATTTCTGTCCGCCAGGAAAGGGTGGCCTTATATGAAGGGCAACACCACAACATCGTGCCCCTCAATACTAACCTCTACATCAGTATCGACAAACCTGGAACACTAATTACACTTAAACCTAATTACAGCAATATGGTGTTCCATAAAAGAAGAAGGTCCTGTGGCCTCGACTTTCATCTTCACATAAATGTTTTGAACAAAAACATTTTTTGTTCTGTATTTCCCTTTTTCTAGAGGTAAATACAATTTAGGAGGGGAGTGTGATGATGGCAGTAGTGATTTGGTCATTGTCATGTGCAGGAGTGTGGCGCCCACCACCTGGGTCACCCGGGTCACGTCACCAACAATCTGATTATCCTGCCGTCCGCCCCTCCTTCCTGCCCTTCTTCCGTCCCCACCCACCATGTACACCGCCTTGCCGTGCTCCGCCTTTTCTTCCCACGCCCGCAACTCCTCCAGCCTCTCTTTCCTCCGCACAACACTCTCTAATCCATTCTTTCGCCACCAATCCCCCCATCGTCTACCGCTCTTGGGTCCACCTCCTTTGAAAAGAAGTCAGTCATCTGTAAAATTTGCAACAACAGCATTTGGGGAGCCAGACGTATGTTACAGCAGCAGGCGCGGTGGTCTACAACAGCAGCAGCAAATGAAGGGAGGCAAGCTGTCTATTACTCCAGCAGCTGTGGGGGAACATGGTGATCTGTAGCAGCACCAGGAGGAGGAAGAAGCCAGTCGTATAAAGTAGCAGGTGAAGGGGAGTGAACATCTGACGGGTCGCCGACTTGCCAGGCGGTATAAAAGACATTCATTATGGTGCAGAAAAAGTGCCTCCCCGCCTCCCTCCCTCACGAGTCCAGGTTGATAGATTCCATATGAATATTAATGAGTGGCTGGTGGCAGAATCTCCAGGACTAAGGATGGCAAGTGTTTAATTAGTTTTCTCAACTTTCTTAATGATCAACGTCTGGCAGTATTTTTCAGCAGCACACTTCCGCAGCAGAACCTAACTTAACCACATGTAGCTCACCAGTTAATTCCACAAAGGGCGTCTCACACATAAAAGTGGACCACGTATGGTCCCCCAACATATGCTAACTTGCAGTTTTATATCGCCTCTGCAGTCATGAAGGCTACGGTCACGACCCACTCACGAGAGATCACCAAATGCGCGACTAATCCCCCCCCCACACAACAATAATGGCCACTGGGTCTATTCTCCCCACGCCGGCAAATAACTTAACTAGATGAACCACACCAACCAATAAATTTATAATACTCTCCCAACTACGCACTTAAAACTACTTTATATCCTTGTGTGTTTGTGACGCGTGTTTCAGCTTACTTCCTCGACGCTACAATCTGTTTTTTCCTCTTTCTGTACACAAATACGTAGGTTAACAACTATTAAGACGAAAGAGAATTACCCCAGTGCTAGTCAACAATAAAAGATTAACGCAAGATGATAATTATAACTTATTTACCCCTAAAGATCATTAACATTACGCATATTATCACTGGAGATAACACAAGTGGAAGGTCTCACAGTGTTGGTAGTTACAGCGATAAGTGGCCACATGACTTCCTCTCAAGGGGTCACCAGACGGATCCCAGTAATCCATGTATATTTGTTTGTTTTTTCTGTTTTTAATCTAGGAAATGGAAGATTGTTTCATTAATTTTCCTGACGCACACAGTGTTTTATCAATGTGGCAGCTCTTTATGGTCCATATATGTAAATTTATTGTCACCACTTTTAACCATGCCACGTGATACATACACAATGATACAGCCCATTTACAACGGCGGGGGTCTCTGGTGGACAGCTTGAGGTCATGTATCACTAACACACACACACACACATCTGCCCCTACACCGCTCACAGTTCCCCTCAAAGTCATTTTATCTTGTGTATATCTGTAAACAAGATCCAAAAAAACAAACATTGGATAGTTTAATTAATTTTCTTTCTCTAAAAACAGCCTTCTAGATAATCAATTTCTTTTATATGACAATTTTTCGTTTCAAAATATTTAACTCTTACAGTACCAATGCCTTTACGCCTACATACAGAGCATAAAATTTAATCTAGTCTGTACAAACACGTTAGCTCTACACTATAGACAATTGAAAGACCTTAGGGGCATACCAAGATTTTATTTGTCTGGTTGAAAAATAAACGCGAAAACCACAACGAACAGACAGACGCCACTACTGATGAAAATACTCTGATAGAACTATACCGGGCGAGGGGCCATAAAGCCTCCCAGTTGTTACAAGAGAAGCAAGTGTGGAGTAAGTGAAGTCAGCCTGCTGTAGTGTAGCTCATCCCTCCCTCCTCCGCTTTCTCTTCCCTCCACAGTTACCCTACCTCCCTCCACTCTCTCTTCCCTCCCTCCCTCCACATCCATCCACCTCTCTCAACCACCTCAGACCGCTGCATTAGCCACAAGCTACTGAAGCCTAAGCAAACCAGGCAGTTACGATCTTCACATGCAAGGAAACTACCTAAAGAACCTTGAGACTGGAAAAGACAACTGAGAAGGGGTACTACTGAGAACACACACACACACACACAACAGTACCTCTCTCAGTGGTGAAATCCATCTTGTGTGTACCTCTGAAGGAGCTCAACCCCCCTACCCATAACTCTCGTCTTTTGTGCTGCTGTGATAGATCTGCATACCAAGTGAGTGAGTGAGAGAAAGAGAGTGACCCCCCCCCCCTCCTTCCTCTTTCCCTCCCCTACCATTTCCATACCACTCCGGAAGAATAGCGGGAAGACTATAAAAAGCCCCAGGATTTATGTGACAGGTATGGCAGCAGCTTGTTGAAGTGTAGTCAGCTTAGTCCACACAGCCTACTACACAAAGATGATATATCACACTAATACAAAACAGAATCCAATATAAGTTAGTTTTTCCACCAAGATAACAGAATATAGAAGAAAAAAATATTAAAGAAAGCACAATATTTATCTGCCCTGATAACGAAAGATTTTTATTTATTATTTTTTGTCATTTAGTAGACAAATTTGGTAGAGAAAATTTGGTTCAGCTACTTACAGAGGAGACATAAACATTGGTAAAAAATATATGACAATGCTAATGAATTCACTATTTTTTTTTCCTTACACAAAATATTACATAAAATTATACGAGGGTTTAACATAAAGAAAACAGAGAGGGATGGTGATAATAAATATGATACTGTTTAATGTTTGTGATGTAATCGTTTAAAAAAAAATATTAAAGAGCATTAATTAATAATGCAAAGAACAATTAGTTACACAGATTGAGCAAACAATCATTATAGTAAAACAAAACCTAAAAACTATTTCAAACTGGTAATAAAAATGGAAAGAGAAAAAAATAAATATAAAATTTCTCGAAGAATAATACAACTCAATAAATTATCAACTGTTCTGAATACTCCATTAAAAAATTTCTAAACATGTGTAACCCAGAATGACAAAACACAAAGAGAAAGAACAATATCATCAAGGGAAGGTATTGTGTAAGAGAACAGGAAAGGCCAGATGGTCCCTCACTCACACACACTTACCCACCAAGTTAAAGTATACTGTACTATCAACTGCAATCATTTTTTTTTGTACAGTATAGAGTAAGTAATTTAATGGCTACGGTTCTAAGCATAGTTCACGATGTCTTAATTTCTAAATCATGATATAGCCATCCTTATAAGACTTCCTGAGTAACACACATGTGGTTTATGGGAGTCATTTAACCTACGTCCGCAGCTCTATGATTCCCAACCTACCGTGGTTGATTGACTGACTCGCTAACTGGTAGAATATTTTGATTAATCTGATTACACGCAGCTTATGTCTTGGCTCATGGTCACTGTTGGCTATTTAAGCTAAATTATTCATACATTATTTTGTTTTATTTTTGTCTGGCTGAAGGAATGACGGAAGATTTTCATAATTTTTTAAAAAGGAAAATAGTCAAAGAGAGAGAGAGAGAGAGAGAGAGAGAGAGAGAGAGAGAGAGAGAGAGAGAGAGAGAGAGAGAGAGAGAGACCACAGCTGCTATTTACTGGTCGACATAATTGATGAAGAAGGCGCGGGTAATGCAATAAAAGGGGACATGATTGTGATGCCAGTATGGCCTTATTGCTACCTTCACTTGGTGTTATAGAGGAGCCAGACCTCCACACAAACACATTAATGAGCCACGTAAACATAACCATCACATCAATCCCAATGTTTGTCTTATGGCAATATGCAATGTCATGGTCGTGTCGTAAAATAAACTTACATCACTCAGACATTTCAGTAGGTGTGTTTCTAGGATAAAAATGCGTGCGTTAC